GCTGTCAGTGATCTGCCTGCCTTCAATGGAAGCATTTTGGTAAACCTGACACTAGTCCCCCAGTCACCTTTATTAGCCTTTCAGTTAACACTTTCGACACAAGCTTGTAGATGCTGCATAATAAGGCTGATAGGCCTGAAATCTTTGAGTTCGATAGCTCCTCTTCTTTTAGGAATGAGAGCTATAAAGGAAGCATTGAAAAATTTAACCATGTTACAATTGACATGGAAACGATTGAAAGTTCTCATGAGGTCAAGCTTTAAAGTTCGCATACTACTTTTTAGTTTTTTCATGTCATATTATGTGATGATATTTGAATGAACACAATCAGTAAGATGTAAATTTTTTTTTTTTTTTAGTAAGATGTAAATTCAAATCATATAGTACCACATTTTCACAAGAAAAGAAAACATTAAAATAGTATTTCTTCCGATCTAATTTATGACGCTCTTTCTTTTTTAATCCGTCTCTAAGAATATGACATATTTAATAATAATAATAATTAAGTTTAAACTTCTCATTTATCTTTATTGAAATAATTTAAAACAACATAACTTTTTATGATTTATTTAAGACCATAAAATTAAAAGATTTTTTTTTTCAATTCCGTGCCCAATAATAATAACTCACATAAATTACAACTAAGGGTGTAGTTCTAAAGTTAATTTGAGGGAGAAAATAATTCATATTAAATATTCTTAAAAGTTAAAAGTATAAAAATGAAAAAATGAAGTTTTTTTTGTTTCTCACCCGGTGTTCGGTATCCATTTTTTTCTTTTTGATGACAAGGTAAATCCACAGCCACTACCCTTTGGGTACACACAAAGTAAAACCCCCAGTCCTATGCAATTGCTCGCAAACCACACAGGAGAGGTAATTGTACTAAGCAAGCCCGGTGCGGCGAGCTCCAGAAAGCAAACCCTTGCTTTCGCTAGCAAGGGGTTTCGAACTTGAGACCTCCAACATGGAAGTCCCAAGCCCAACTGGGCCACCTTGAAGGGTTGTTCAGTTACGTTGTGGGCCCAATTAATTCACATTCATATCGAGAAGTCCCACTTTGAGGATGAACTCCCTACCAAAGATGACTCGGTATCTCAAGCTCAAACTGAAAAACATCTAATTAAGAATGAAGAATTACTTATCACTCCATTGTAATGTTCCATAGTGAGAAAATGTACTATAAAATATGGGGATGAGTACTTTTAAATTTTCCTAATACACAAATTCAAAAATCACAAATAAAGATCTCAACAGTTTTATTTCATATATTCTCAATCTTTTTCTTCCAAAGCACTGAAAACCCTTAGAAATCTCATTGTTTTTTTTAAAACAAAATCTCATTTTAATCTGATTTAATCGATCAACTTTTTTTTGGATTAATATCTATTATTGTAAAATTGGATCACATGCTAATTAGTAGCCATGCAAGTGACAGGCCCAGAGATATATACTTCTTGAATATCCGTAGCGATGTCCTTATAAACAGCCTCTACTGCGATGATGTCGGGCATATTCTCATTTTATTTATACCCAATTTCTTTTCTTTTGCTCAATTTTACATTAATTTTGATTTTGGGGATTTATTTAAGGGAAACAATTGTTGATTGGTTTTTTTAAATTTTGATGAATGAGTTCTAATAGGTTGTTGCTATAAAGTTTTCAAAACGTGTGATAAGTGGCGGAGCCGGTACTTTTGCTATGAGGATTCAAAATATAAAGAGTTAAGCATCAAAAACACACCTAAAGTATCTTTATTTTTTGAGTTTCATACCTGAACTATCAGGTTTCAGAATTTCCTACCCAAACTATCACCAAATGTTCATCGAAACACACCTCAACTATTAGTTGTTTACTTTTTCTACCTGAAATATCACCATTGTTCGTTTGTCACTTTTCACTACCTCATTAAGACTTCTCACACTCTTCTCATCCAATCTCATGCTCCACTGCATTTTCGGGGTGACACAGTTCTCACATCTTGCTACTTAATTGATCGGATGCCCTCATCTTCCATTAAGAACCAAATTCCTTATTCATTATTGTTTCCTCAGCCACCTTTGTACTCTTTTTCCCCTAATGTTAATGGGAGCACATGTTTTGTTCACAACTTAGCCCCAAGAAAGATAAATTAGACCTCAACATGTCTTTCTTGATTATTCTTGGGTTCAAAAGGGTAATCATTTCTATTCACGCAATCTTCCTCATTACCTAATGTAATGTGATGTCACATTTTTTCAGTCTCCACCTTACTTTGCATCTTCTTCTTATCGTCCTAATATCTCTGAGGTTTTACCTATATTGACTTGAAGGAATCTACCGTTACTTTTACATTTCAAGCCATAGTACCACCACTCTTGACTTATCATCATCATTCACATCCAGCATCAGGTCTAGATGATTCACACCCTACACAAAACCCTGAACCTACTGCGACTTGTCTCCTCTTAATCAACTGATTGCACATCAGAAAGGTATATTGTCCACTCATAATATTAACCCCCATTATACTTTCTAAACTAACCATCTTCTATCATCACCCCAATATGCCTTTGAGTCATCGTTGCCCTCTGTTCTATCTCTAAATCTATTGGTGAAGCACTTCTCATCCAAGATAGTGATAGGCTATGATTAATGAGATGTTTGCTTTATATACAAGTGGTACTTGGGAGCTTGTTCCTCTTCTTTTAAGTAAATCTACTATTGGTTGTCGTTGGGTTTATGCAGTGAAAGCTAAGGAAATAGGAACAATGGGATGTAACCCAGTGGCTTTCCTATAGATCGGATGCTAAACTATTGTCAGGACAAGAGAAGCCACTCAGTGGTCTTGGTAGATATAGGTAGCTAGTTGGTAAGATGAATTATCTCACTGACTAAACTTGACATTTTTGTTCTTGTGAGTGGTGTAAGTGAGTTTACGAATTCTCCTCTGTGACAATCATTAGGATGCAATTGTCCGCATTTGACGATAAATAAAGTTAGCTCCAAACAAAGGACTACTCTTCGAGGATCAAGGTCATGAGCAGAGCGTTGAATATACAAATGTTGATGGCAAGATCACCTTCGAATATATGTTCTACATCTGGATATTACATTTTAATAGAAGGAATTTGGTATCCGTGAAGAAAGAAGCATAATGTGGTTGCTCGATCTAGTGCAGAAGCAGAATATCAAACAATGGTTGTAGCAACTTGTGAGCTAGTTTGGATCAAACAGTTGCTTGGGGAATTAAATTTGGAGAAATCAATTAGATGGAACATGTGTGTGATAACAAGTGGCCCTTCATATAGCATTAAATCTTGCATTTCATGAGAGGACTAAGCACATTGTTGACAGTCACTTCGTCTAAAAAAAAAAAGATGCTCTCGGGATATTTATTACAAAATTTGTGAAGTCAACTGATCAACTTGCAAATATTTTCACCAAGTCTCTCACTGGTTCTCGTATGAGTTACATCTATAACAAGCTCGGTACATATGACTTATATGCACCAATTTGAGAGGGATTGTAAGAATAGCAATAGGAATAGAATTGTATAGTCTCCTACATGGAAAAGGACTATAATGTAGTGTCTATAAATAGGGCTCAATGTAATAATGTAGTCAATGCATCTTAATAATATTTTCTCTATTGTACTTCTCACATAATCAAACACAAATACAGTGAGTAGTTACTCTACAATTTTTCTCTTTCTCCTCCTTAGTTTTGAAAGTTTACTTTCTGGGAGACCTTTTCTGTGGGATAGATACCAAATGCAGTCTAGAACCTTCCTGCCAGTCATCACTCATCACTTAATTAAAAACACGAAGAGCCAATAAATTAAAAATCACATAATTAAATACAAATACAGTGAGTAGTTAGTCTACAATTTTTCTCTTTCTCCTCCTTAGTTTTGAAAGTTTACTTTCTGGGAGACCTTTTCTGTGGGAAAGATACCAAATGCAGTCTAGAACTTTCCTGTTAGTCACTTGATTGAAAAGCACGAAGAGCCAATAAATTAAAAATCACTTATCCTCCTAGCTTTCCTGTCAATCAAATGCAACGGAGGGTGTATGCAAGCAAGTAAGCCTGTGTTCCTCAGGGGGGCCTGACCAGCAGAAAAAACATGACACTGTAATTGAACACTTGACCTTAGAAACAGAAAAGTGAAGGCTATTTTGCCATGACTGCAGGGGGAAGTTGAGAATACTCACAAATCACAAGACTACTAGTAACAGAAAGATAACAATACCAAAAGTGAGCTACATAATGAGTTGGCTGTCAATCACTTTTAGAAAATACTTAGCTATTACACTAAATAATTTTACAGTGATCAGAAAAGTGATAAATGAAACCTTGGAATCATCAATTCAGTTCTACACATGCAAATTAGGCCTTAGTGGAAATCTCCAACTAATAGCAAATTTCATTCCCCCCCCTACATTAGCTAGGCACTTTTAAAATACAGCAAGAGAGGGATCATCAACTTCAGAAATTCAGCACATTATATGTAGTGATTTATATGACAGCTGCTAGTGCGAACTTGTGTTTGATAACTGCAAAATTTCCGAAGGCCAGCAGCACAGGGTTTGAGAAGGGGCCCTCTTCACTACCCTTCTCCTCTAAATTAGAGGCTGCAAATTTTTTTGTACAAAAACTTGATATTTGTTATTCTTTTATAAATCAGAGAAATTCCATAACACTAAACCAATTACGTGTCATTTATACAAGATAATGCTGCAGCAATTGTAACTTGATTTAGTTAATAAGAACATCAAAGTTCAGGAAACATACTCTTCAGAAGTATCTGCTGAAATTCCAAGCTGTACCTCACAGATAGATTTAACAAAGGACAGATGAGGGGCAGTGCCAGCAGATGTGTGATGCCTTGAGGTCATTATACTTGAGGAACATAGAAAAATTATTGAACTGCAAACAGCTGTAACTGCTTTCTGACAATCAATGTCTAATGAACCTTGATTAGGCTCAGATATCAGCAGATCAATGAGATAGCCGCGCCGCAGACCTAAAATGCAGGCCCTGATAATGATGGTATAGCAAATGCACGAGAAAGGGCACCAACTATTGAAAAGTTCTTTCTCTGGTCTATTACAAACAAATTTGCCTTTGCTGCTGCTAAAGTTGCAGGCGCTTCAAGCACATGCAAGTCAGTTCATCCTGCAGATGCCACAGAATAGAAGAATTTCGAATTGCGAAACCACATTCTCTGTTGGGCAACCGAAATTTCTACATAATCTCCAAGCCTGCTTTCTGCCCCCAAAATGGATTCTGGAGTCCCAGCTTAAACGCATTGCCCAATCTAAGCAAACAGTTACTCACCATATTGGCTTATCAACCAAAATAAATTTTCTTGCACTAGTTACAGGAAAAAACACAAACCCCACCATGTAATGCAAGAAAGTTATTACTCTTAGTACCTCTATAGACAAGTCATTCACTGCATCTCCTCTTCACTTTAATTCATGAGAATCCCGAGACCTGCTAGAAAAAAAGGCAATATTAGAAAGAAAAAAACCTTGAAACAATACTTGCCAAAATATATAGGTGACATTGTATGTATTTTCACATTGACAATTGTCAAAAGGATAATATAAAAGCCAAGGAAAAACTATTACTTATTCATTAGAACCATCCATCGCCATAGGAAAATTTGTAAACAAGGCAAGGGGTTGCGGACTCAACACGGCCGAACCCATTGTCAAGTGATTGCAATGCTAATTCACACCCTTCCAGTGTTTTGGGAAGCGAGAATCGGAAAAAAGCGACAAGGGCTCGCTTCACAAAAGCGAGAAGCGAAGCGTGCGCTTTTTTTAAATAAAGCGATATTTAGTATAAAAAAAAAAAAATATTAAATAACTGAATAGAGGTAATATATTCTTAGATTAAAGTAAATAGATAGTCAATAATACTCATAAGTCATAACATATAAAGCAAAAAATCAAAAACATAATTAAATCACAAAGAATCAAACTCCTATTCTTCAACAAGAGCAGCAAAAGAATTGAAAAAAACAGAGCAGTAATATTAATTGAAAAAAAAAAACAGGTCAGTAATAGAGATTGAAAACACAGCAGCAAACAGAATTGGAAAAAAAAATGCAGCAATAAAAATATAGAAAAACACCCAGCAGCAACCAAAAAACAAAAAAAAACAGTAGCAGATTGCAACAGCTTCGCAGAGAAGAAGAAGAAGAGAACTTACAGGCTACAGCAGTCGCAAAGAAGAAGCGAAAAAGTCGCAGCTTCTTAGTCGCATAAGTATCTTTCAGAAATTAAAAAAAAAAAAAACTTACATTTTAAAAAATAAAACACTAATTGGCGCTTTTTCATAAAAAGCGCGCTTTATCGCGCTTTCGCTTTTCTTGCGCTTCTCGCTTCTACAGTAGAAGCGAGCGCCTTTTCAATGTCGCCTCGCTTCAGGAACTAAAAGCGCAGGAGCCTCGCCTCGCGCTTTAAGCGCGCTTTTCTGCGCTTTTTACAACACTGCACCCTTCTCATTTCTTTTTCAATAACATGGCACTAGGGTAACTTGCACACAACTTGACAATTCAACCAAGTATCCACATTAGTATTCCACACATATTGACCACTGTACACTCCCTAAATAAAGTAGTAGGAAACCAGATAAGAAAGGAAACACATAAAGGACGAATTTCATTTTTAACAATAAGAAGAACCAACATTGATTGAACAATGTTAGGTGTGAGCAATTTAAATGGTCGTTAACTGCAGTTAGTAATTAATAGAAAGGGAATTGTGTCGTTTATAAGGGGAAAGGTCCAATTTAACTCCGACGTTTTTTAAAAAAAAAACTGAAGAACACATCCAGCAGCTGAGATTTAAATTCTTAGATTACATACACAGTTATGATTTTGTCTTCCTTCCACCATCAAGGGAGCCAAACTTTCAGTTGCAGCTCATGTTTTTGACAGTTCTTGTATCCCTTCTCTCTCAAAATTCTCTCCTCTTTCTCATTATTTTCCCTTCTCTCCCAACTCTAATCCTTTTCTGCCTTTGCAATCCAGGAATTACAATTGAATGGAAGGAGACTGATTGAGATATTTTCAATTTTTTTTCTTTAATTCATTGGATTGTAATTCATAGTTGACTGACTTGTAATTTGGAATCAGTCTAGTAATCCTTTCGCATTGCTCTGTCAACTTACCTCCGATTCTGTTAAATTAGATTGATAAAGGGATTCTCAAAACCAATAGTCACATCCATAAGCAACACAAATATGTAACTGGATTCTGTCAAACCCTTAACATAAAGGAGGAAAAACAAAAGATCAAACAATGGGTGAATCAATATTACGTGCAGTGGATAATATACCCCTTGCCTTTGCCTCAAACTTATAAAAGTAAAACCTTCTATATATATTTATATATATACACACACACACACTAAATCCACACCAATTTTTTTTTTTTTTTTTTAAAAGAGCGGGTGTAGTGGTACTTCACACCTACAAACTTGAAATACTGAATTCAACTATTAGGATAAAAGCTCAAGATCAAAGTTCAAAGCAGAGATCAAAAACAACAGCTAAAAAGGGTAAAAATACGCACATCTTTAAGAAAATAAATGCAGAAGTAACGAGTTTGAAAGAATCACAGAAAACCCAAGATAATCCAAGTGTAGTGGCTTATATTACTCGATTCACTTTCAAGAATCTTTTGGCAGTCAAGTAGGAACAACTACGAGGTCTGCCATCTCTCTCTCTACCCAACCACCATACCTCTGTTGTTCTCTTGGAAGGTGACAGTTGGGATCCCTCAAACATCCAAGTCCAGTAACTTCGTCTGAGCCCTCATACACTTGTTGTGTTCTGTACAACTTTTGTGGGTTTATGCAAAGGTACATGCAGTACAGGAAGGGAGGAGCAAACTGAGTCCTTTTCTTTAGGAAAGAAGCAACTTGTTGTATCTATACAAACGGCCATCTTGATTCATCAGAAGTTGGACAGGTAAGGAAACTTCTTGTTGAGCTACGTACTTACTTAAGAACTAATAAACCTCAATTCCAAGAAATCATATCTTCTACCAAGACATTTACCGAGGAAGCAGAAGCCTTTTTGAAAGAAGCTATTCAGGAACAAATGGACCCACATTTGTAACACCTTGCAACTTCTATGTAAAAATCTGAACCATTCTCCATATGCATTTAGGCCTGAACCCGATGATTTCTAATTGAACATAGATATTAAGATCAATTCTTTTTTTTTTTTGATAAAGTTAAAGTTGTATTCTTCAGCATTAAGGGTATGTTGGCAACCTCCAAAAAGTTACAAGCTACATGTATACATCCATAATTACATAGATCCTAGGAAATCTACCAACTGTTCTACTTCTTCTATACCATCTTCTTTACACCAAAAAAACATGTTAATGCAATTTTCTTTAACTTTCTGAATAGTGTTAGTAGTATTCTCATGACACCTAAGGTTTCTTTCCCTCCAAATAGCCCACCAGACACAAGTAGGTACTATAGACCATCTTTTTTGGGTCTTGCCCCCCCCCCCCCTCCTCATTCAGCAGCTCAAAAGATCAGCAGTATGTTCTGGCATCACCCGGGGCTCTTCTTTTTTTTTTGAGAAGGTAACAACTTGTATTCTATTTCCAAAAAATCAGAAACCTGCCACAACAAGTTACAGGTTTCCTAATTACAATTAAGGTGGAGTATCCAGAAGATCTTCAACCCTTTTAACAAAAATTTACAAAGATTTTAAGACATCCATAATTGATTCTAGATCTTCCGTATACGCTAATTTACACCAAAAATGAAACAAAACTAAGCACTTCATCTTCATCTTCTGGATATTGTTGCTCTAGTTCTGATGGCACCTGAGGTTTCTTTCTGTCCAAGTAGCCCACCAGATGCAAGTTGGTATAATTTTCCACCTATCCTTATGGTATGAAATGTTAGCATAACTTGCTCCAGATCTTCAAGGTCTGATTATCATAAGGGTTTAATTTTTTATAGGCCTCTTTCACACTGAATCTACCTTGATTGTGGTCCTTCCACTCCAATCTATCTTGGTCAGTTGAAGTTCCTTTGAATTGCTCCAATTTGCTGTAGAACTCAACTAACCTCAAAATCTCTCAGTCATTAAAAGGTTTTCTAAAGCTCAAATTCCATCCCTGATTTAAACAAACTTCAGCCACAGTGGCCCTTTGTTGTTGGTTTAGGGTGTAAATATCATTGAAGGTATCCCTTAGGGGGGCTTGATCTATCCATTTGTCTTCCCAGAAAAGAACCTTCCTACCATCTTTTGTTCTTATGCTGCAATTTTCTCTAAGCTTTGGCAACAGGTTTCTGATGGACCTCCAAAGATTGATTCCATAAGTATCAGTGGCCATTTTGGTGGTCCAATGATCTGCCATTTCACACTTCAGCTGGATTACTTCTTTCCAGAGAGCTAACTCACTAGAAGCAAATCTCCAGAGCCATTTCATCATAAGACATTGGTTCTGAGATTTTAAGTTCCTCACCCCCATACCCCCTTTTTGTTTACTCCCAATCAGTGCATCCCATTTTACTAGGTGGAATTTCTTGGTTTCACTGTTTCCTTCCCAGAGAAAATTTCTTCTTAGAACCTCCAATCTCTCAATGACCCCAACAGGGATAGGGAAAAGGGACATCATATAAGTAGGCATTGAGTCCAAAAACTATTGATTAGTGTTAGTCTTCCTCCTAAGGAGAGGTATTGACTCTTCCAGTTCACCAACCTGTTCTCACACTTCTCTACCACCCCATTCCATATATCTATAGACCTATTCTGATCTCCCAATGGCATGCCCAGATAGACAGTTGGTAGCTCCCCAATATTTCCACCAAGAACCCAAGCCAATGAGGTTAGGTAGGAACCTCATTAACTGGATATAAGAAGCTCTTATTCCAGTTGATGTGTAACCCTGAGATTACTTCAAAAAGAACAAAAATGACCCTAAGAATAATGAGTTGGTTCCTACTAGCCTCACAAAAGATCAATGTATCATCAGCGTACTGCAAATGAGTAATCTCCAAGTTTGGGCCTTCCTTGTGTGAAGCTTTGAATCCCTTCAACCAGTTATTTTCTTGGGCAATTTTCAACATATCATTTAGACTTTCCATGGCAATGATGAAGAGAAAAGGAGAGTGGATCTCCTTGCCTTAGGCCTCTCTGTGAGGAGAAGAATCATGTAGGGGAGCCATTGATAAAGACAGAGAATTTGACTATGCTTATGCAGAACTTCATCCATCTTATCCATCTACCTCCAAATCCTCTTTTGGAGAGGGTCTCCAACAAAAAATTCCAGTTGAGGTGGTCATAGGCTTTTTGTATATCTAGCTTGCATAGAATGCCAGGTATATTGCTTCTGACTCTAGAGTCCACTAGTTCATTTGCCATGAGGATGGCATCCATTATTTGCCTTCCTTTGATGAAAGCCAGTTGTTGAGTGTCCACCAATTTGTGTATAACATTTTTTAGCCTATCTGTAA